AAAACGTAAATGTTTGGTAGGTATGTGCACGTGTTGAAGTTTAAACTGTTAGCACTGTAGCTTTCTTCCTTTAGGTTTATTTATCTTGCTGATCTACTTGATAACATTCTTGCCTAAGATGCCATGTTCCAGCGGCTACATAGACTTCTATTGCACATTTTTAATTCAACTTCTCGTGTTTAAATAAATGTGTATTTTCTTTTTGGAAACTGTCACAAAATCTAATTTCCCCTCGGGATAAATAAAGTATTCTGATTCTGATAACTATCACCTCAGGTTACAATTATAATGATAATGTTTTATCATGCTTGTTTTAGTTTATTCGCATTTTTGTGCATTTAATGTTTTTTTTATTAATATATTACCATTTATTTTTATTATTAATATGTATTATTTTTCTTTTTCATGCTCTTTCCCTTAGTTTGCCTCTTCCTCCTACCTTTCACATGTCCACCTTATAGATATTTGTCATGCACAAGATACAAAACTCAATAACAGAGTTCAGACACTTTTTAAAGCGTGAGGAACACAAGCAGTAATCACACACACATCTCTACTTGTGAGGACACTTACTGAAATAATGCATTCCCTTACTCCTTACCCCAACCCTAACCCATCACAACAAATGCTAAACCACAACCCTTGCATTTTCCTTAACCTTATTGTAGCCCTTAAATGTCCTCACTTTCCACAAATGTCCTTATTTGTAAGGTCTAAAACTCTTGATCCTCACAAGGTACAAGTACATGTACACACACACAAACAAGCCACATTGGTACTTACAGGAACGACGGTAGCCATGTTCGAGGGTTGATGCTCTCTGGTAAAGAAATTGCGTTCAGAATGAGAATAGTTGCCTTCTTATAGATGCTGACATGACCAGGCCAGATTATAGGCCAATCATCTTCAGAGGTCAAAATAACCCCGCCTACTTCTGACATCACCACGGTAAGGTCCCACATCCACAAGCTTGTTGCTTCAGGTTACAAAGACACTGATACACAGTCTATTATTGAGGACTCTTTTGTTATACAGGGTATATTTAGAAGCAGCTGTAAATCTGGGAATAAAGAGAGAAAATAGTGGAGCATGATAATTTAGAGAAGACTTAAAGGACAGACTGATGTCAACAGAGAAGGGAGAGCTGATAGAATGGGCGAGGAGAGAAGAAAAAAGAGTGATGGAGGGGGAAACCAGGTGGACAACAATAGGTAGTAGACAGGCGTCACACAGTGTAAGGTGATGTGTCTGAACAATGTGAAGCATTGGTGCGTGTGCATTTCAATCAGTACATTATTACACATCAATGATGGGAAGAGACAATAAAGGTGTGACACACTATGATGTGTTTTCTAGTTTCTATAGAAACGAAACAGGAGAAGGGTTGAAAAGTCAACGCGTCTCTTTTAACCGTCATTCAAACTCATTGTCTCAGCACATAAACTGAACATTTAAGTTGCCAAAGATACCAAACGATATGCAGGCATGATACAAATAATTTAATTTGAACAATTTTAATTATACGATTAATTTTGGTGTGTGGGAGAAAACTCCGTCTGGAGGGAACATTAGGATTTGCAGACCATTTACATGCACAAAAACCTATAAAATGTACCTATAAAATGTACCTATAAAATAAAACCCATAAAATGTACATGCACAAAAACCTATAAAACACACTACAGGAAAGGGAAAACCCTAAAAACATAATAGAGCCTCTTTAGTACAAAGCAGTGCTTACTTGTGGTCCCTCATCCCAGATTAATAAGGGTCACTGGAGACATGTGATGTGAGCAGTTTAAACACATTATGCAAAGGATTATTTTCTTTATTCATCTTGTAAACTTCAAGGTTAAAGGGCCCATGTCATGGCCATTTCCACTGATCATAATTCCATTGTTGAGGTCTACTAGAATAGATTTATATTGTGCAATTTTCCAAACTCACATTGGTTTCTCATACAGCATCTCTGTAAACTACGTGTATTCACTGAATTTCACTCTCTGCCTTTAACGGCTCGTTGTAGCTCCAATAGCTCCAGCCCCCACCCTCCCTGTGAGCACAGTGTGCTCTGATTGGTCGGGACGTTGTGAATCGTGCTGAGCTCCGTGGAGGTGTTGTTTCCTTGTTAGCGATACACAGCCAAACACAGCCAAACTCATCCTGAGCACAAACAAACTCACAGCCAAAGTAAAAACAATAAGTGTGGCTTGATATTGAGTAAGAAAAAGGTTGATAAACGCTGTGAGAATGGGTCTGCAGAGAGAATTTCGCCGCGATCCCAACTGTCTGTTATCAGCCTGCACAGGGAGGACAAATCAGCAGAGCTCCCTGCTCCCTGCACACAGATGTGTGTGTGAGGAAGTCCGTGGATTGGTCAATTTGGACCAATCAGCGGGGGCTTAACGTAACGGCTCTGCGGACGTAACGTAACGTAACGGCTCCACGGATTGGTCCATTTCGTTCCGGGCACGGCATGACATCATGCCGTACCCGGAACGAAATGGAAGAATCAAATGGACAATGACGTATCTCCAACGAGGCGTTTTGGGGAGGTATTTTCTGTGTTAGAGTTTTACTCGCTACAGGGTGTACTTTGAGGGTTTGTGACTCTGCACACCGTTTACATGCATAAAAACCTTCATAACACACAAGGGGACGGGTAATAACCGGAAAAGCATGACATGGGCCCTTTAACATTTATTTTGAAATATGTTGCCAAATATCAAGAAAATGTGTGTTAATAAATCAAGGAAAGCCTACTGGTAACAATACAAGCTTATTTCAAACTGTAAATATTGTATCAGACTACTGGTATACATGAAAAATGGCAGTAAATATACAAAGAATAGACACTGAACATGTATTGCGTGTGCCAGGTGTGATCCATGTGGGGGGATGGGCACATAAGAGCGGGAAATGTATCAAATTGTTGTGTATGTGTGTGTGTGCCAGGTGTGTGCCAGGTGTGATTCACATAAGGGGGGATGGACACATAAGGGGGGGGAGACATATATAGTGTGTGTGTGTGTGTGTGTGTGTGTGTGTGTGTGTGTGTGTGTGTGTGTGTGTGTGTGTGTGTGTGTGTGTGTGTGTGTGTGTGTGTGTGTGTGTGTGTGTGTTTTATCTGATCCGGATCGTTACTAATTCCTTTTCTTTACACCATGGGTGTTACAAAGTTGACTAAATCATCCAAAATTCAATGAAAGTGGTGATAAGCAATTTTATATGTTCAAATGTCTACAGTGAAGGATATCATAAAGCCTTAATGCAATCGAATGTAAAAAAAAAAAAGTTATGATTGATGAAAGTAGTACATCGGTCGAACACAACAGGAGGGTTAATTCTGTAACTACTATAGGGAAGGTGAATTATTTTGTACTAGCATCTGAGATTTCAACAACAAGTCAAAGTCAAAGAGCTTGTTTTAATGTTATTTCTGCCATGACATGCAAAAAGAAAAATGGGTCAATACAACAATATAACAAGAGATGATGTTTTTTTTTCTGATATAACATGATGTTTGTTATACTAAAATGCTGTTCCCTATCCTTCCTAACATCTACCAAGGAATGAGATGATGTTATTTTTTCAGGTGATGTTTCACCAACTATCTGAAGACTGCTGTCTCCATGTCAACACCTCACCCTCACCTATGTACTACATGTAAGCTGTATTGCGCCCCCTGCTGTTTTCCAGACCACTCTACCTCAGGGGTTAAGTATTCATTATTGTGAGCGTATTTAAGCTAGGCTATGTGGTCTTTATTATTAATGTGACTCGTCGTGAATGCTGAATTAAAATATGCATAATTAAGTCTTTTAGCTAAAGTGTTGACATTACAAGGTAAATTCACTAAAACCCACAGGAAGGCGCTCGTGGACAAGTACTGGTTCTCACGCTGCATTTATGACTATCAGTAACTTTCCCGAAATTCTCGAATTAGGTCCTAAATGTCACTTGTTACACCGAAGAATGGGTTTTTCATTGGCAACCATTGAATTTTGTTTGCAGACCTTTCAACAGTGGGTTTATAGCAAACGTCAGGTCTATTAAATAGCTTATTTAAGTAAATTGTATACAAATTAATACTAAAAAGCCTTATACTTTAGCTGCATTCACGCTCCGCCCCCTAGACAACACATATTAGTAAAATAGAAAAATCTTACATTACTTTAAATATTTTTCTTTATGACATTGTTTAAAATATTGCGGAAAGGATTTTTTCCGACACTACGTGAAGGCACCAGAGCTCATCTGTTCGGAAGATAACGCACGGCACAGATGTGTAAACAAAGACACACCCTCTGTTTAAGGAATAGCCTAAATAAAAGGAGACAAAAAACATTAACATTTTATCGACAATCTTTACTTTAATTGACCTGTTAATTATACATTTACGTTTTGGAGATGATACATTAACCCGTTTTTTAGATTTGGTGAAATATAATTCTGTCTCTATATTGAGAAACTGCAGTAGAGAACACAGTGACAGATTTACGTTAGGTGCAGTCGTTATTTAGATGTATCTGGGCTTATATTTGAGACATTTAATGCCTCATAGTAGGTAAACTCATTATGGTCATGGACCATGTTATCGATTAGGAAGTGATGACGGATTATATATATATATTGTTTATTTGAGGTTCATAATGATCTTTATTTGAAATAACCTACGTTAAAGTATTTGAAATAAAATGTAATTAAAAAATAAAATAGTTTTATGTTTGCTTTACACATCAGCCTTGAGAAGTTATCTTTATTGTCGCGCGAAGAGTGTTTTCAGAGCAACAGGTGCGTCTGGATGCCTTTAGGGAACTTGTAAGAATCGGTCATTGTGGTAGTCTTACATAAAACTGGTGCTAGAAGACAACAAACCGTTATGTCTAAAGCTTGTATAAGCAACAAAAACCACCCCCAGGGAGGCGTTTCAAGTTTTGAAACACCTGTAGGCTGCTGCGATGATTACTAAGACTAGGCTGTTTACCGAGTATTTGAACGCCTCACAGACCCCGCCTCTCGCTGCTGTCCTGCGGAGAATAGTTAAGAGTTTACTGCCCCTGGGTGTAATCGGTGAAGTTGAACTCTCAGTCAGCAGTCAGGTACACGGCCCCCCGAGGAGGTCTTTCTGCTCTCCTCCCTGTATTCACTTTTCTGCATTTTATTTTTTTATCAATATGTCTCCCTCCACGTCCCCACGGTTCTTCACGGAGAGGGAGGTGGCCCGCCACTGCTCCAAGGACTCCTGCTGGGTGCGTCTGGGGACCAGGGTCTACGACGTGACCTCTTTCTTGCGGATGCACCCGGGCGGGGAGGCGCTGATACTCCGGCGGTCAGGGAAGGACGTAAGCGGGGAGATGGAAGGACCCCCCCACCGGCACTCGGAGAACGCACGGCGATGGATGGAGCAGTACTATATCGGGGAGCTGGACAGGGACAGTGGCACCGAGGAGGCACAGGTAGGGTCTGACCAGAGACATATGACGTAGAGAAAATACCTGTTACACTGGAGGGTCGTCAGGGTGTGTAAGAGACTGACAGGTGGTCTTTCTACCACGAATATGGCCTCAAGTCAAGGCTGTAGCCCTGCACCAGAGGTGGAAGAAGTATCTTGTACTTAAGTAAAAGTAGAACTACCAGAGTGTAGGAATACTCTGTTACAGGTAAAGTCCTGCATTCAAAATGTCACTCAAGTAAAAGAAGAAAAGTATTAGCATCAAAAATATACTTCAAGTACCAAATGTAAAAGTGCAGATTGGCCCATTCCAGAATAATATATATTATATGTTTTGATTATAATTATTGATCATTAAAGTGTTATCAAAGCTGGTAAAGGTGCAGCTAGTTTTAATGACTTAGTATACTGCAGGGTAGCTTGTGAATTTATTCCAGGTGGAACTAAAGTCCTTTTTAAGTATTGTTTATATTTCACATTAATAATCAAGATCTGCATAGTAACTAAAGATATGAAATAAATGTAGTGGAATAAAAGTACACCATTTACCTCTGAATTTTAATGGGGTAGAAGAACAAATGAGCAAAAAATGTAACCACTCAAGTAAAGTACAAGTCAAAATTGTAAGTGCCGTACTTGAGTAAATGTACTTAGTTACTTTAGCATACTGCCCTACACTCATAATTTGAAAAGCAGTTGCATCTGTTTTAAAATGTAAGCGGCTCTATTAACGCCCCTTAAATAGTGAAATCAGAGGAAAATGTCCCCTAGCCTGTAAACTGTGCCTGGGGAGCCATTATGTTGACAGCCATGACATGCTGCGAACAGGTAATTTAAATTGGCTGCATTGGATGTTTTTTGAAGTTGAGAGGCTCTGTTAGTAACAGGTGTATAATTGTCTCTCACTTGACTTTACTGGCCGTAACTGTGAGGCAGAGAAAAAAAAGGAACTCCCCTCCCCCTCCCCCTCCTCCCGGAGTATTGAATGTAAGGGAGGGAATGAGTGGAAAGAGACACACAGGGAGGGGTCTGGCTCCATGCCTGTGTAATATCTGGAGGAAAGGAGCATAGCCGGGAGGGGCGTTCAGGTGATACCTGTGTGTGTGTGTGTGTGTGTGTGTGTGTGTGTGTGTGTGTGTGTGTGTGTGTGTGTGTGTGTGTGTGGTGTGTGTGTTCGTGTGTGTGTGTTGTGTGTGTGTGTGTGTGTGTTGTGTGTGTGTGTGTGTGTGTGTGTGTGTGTGATGTGTGTGTGTGTGTGTGCTGTGTGTGTGTGGTGTGTGGGTGTGGTGTGTGTGTGTGTGTGTGGTGTGTGTGTGGTGTGTGTGTGTGTGTGTGTGTGTGTGGTGATGGTGTGTGTGTGTGTGTGTGTGTGTGTGTGTGTGTGTGTGTGTGTGTGTGTGTGTGTGTGGTGTGTGTGTGTGTGTGTGTGTGTGTGTGCTGTGTGTGTGTGTGTGTGTGTGTGTGTGTGTGTGTGTGCTGTGTGGTGTGTGTGTGTGTGTGTGTGTTGTGTGTGTGTGTGTGTGTGTCCCCTTGCGATTGACCCACGGACGCTTCCCCTCATTTGTTGTACGGTGACCTCCCCACTCTACTTTTAGCTCTCCTCTGTCTCTGTGTGTTTCCCTTTGTGGTGAGGAGGGAGAAAACAGCAAGTTTGGGCATAAATCTCATGCCGACAGAGTTCACATTTACATGCTTACCCTTCTCATGCATTGTGTGTGGGTGTATATCAGTATTCAAAGTTTACACAATTGCATTTTTCTGTTCTTCTTTCACATCTCTAGGGCTTCAGTCACTGATAAGTCATAAAAAATGTGGACTTTTGGACTTTTTTTGTCTTTCAGATATTGGACTTAGATAGCATTCTGCACATGTGGTGTCTGACATGTTGGCAGGTATCCTGTGAAAGTTGTATATGTAGTTAGACCCTTACAACAGCCAGACACATTTTCACACATTCACACTGGCTGTTCAAAGTTTCAGTCGTTAGTGGTTTTCCTTTGTTAACTGCTAGCATCACAATATCCTCCACAAAATGCAAAGGTCATCACACATTTTCATTTCTTTAAAATTATAACTACGACTTGTTTAGGCATGATTCAGCATGGTTAGTGTTTTGCAGAAGTCTAACTCAAGGTTTGAGCCTCGAGGGGAAAATATGTTGAAAGAAATGCCATTAAAATTCTAAAGTCACAGAGACTGCTGAAATGTGACAATTGAAGTCTCAAGAGTCACAAGGACATTCCAGTTGTTAATCAAATATAACCCTTACTTAATTTGTCCTACAGGTATGGCTACAAAACAAATGGTTCTTACTTTGTCTCCTTTTTAAAGTCACTTAGAGACCTTGGTTAAACTGCAAATGATAAACCTGCACCACAATGTGTTCTTTAATGATGCCTTATGGCCTGGCAGTAAATGGTATTTCCACCAAGCAGCGTAAATAGTAGTGCAAAAACCGAATTTATCAACTTTCGGTAACCCAGTGTGACTTTAAAGAGGTTTTAATTGTGCTTGGATTGCTTTGAACCGAAAAGTCCTTCGAGGTCACGTTAAATGTTGTTGAAATAATGCAGATTTGCCTTCTGTGGAAAGGCTTGTTTTGAGATATCATCATGACACTGGCAATCATTGATGAATTGTGATTCTATAAAAAAAATTAATAAGTTAAATGTGTTAATTGTTAACCCAAGCATGTGTCTTGAAATGTCTATTTTCGGCTAATGCAGCAGTTTATAAATCCAACATTTGGTTACCCTCATATGACAAAGAAAATCATCAAATATACACTTATCATGCTTGGAATTTTAACCTAAAACCAAACTAAAGCCATTAATTCACTGGGTATGTGTCGACATATTGTTATATTATCCAAATAGTTGCCAATGATTTCTGTCGATAAAACAAACACATCAATAAATAATGTCATCATTAGTGTGTTTTAAAGGGGCCCTATTATTTTTACCTTTCCTGTAATGTGTTAAAATCCCACAGCTTCCTCCAGAGGGAGTTTCACACAATTTTTTCCTCTTTAGTTACATTTATTGCAGAATTATATGCCAATGTTATAATGGGCTGTTCTGTCTTATTCTGTGTTACCTTGAGATTCACTGCACTATACATCAGTGTTAATTCGCACAACAAATCATTTCCTTAGTCTTCTGATGTGTGCTTTTTGAGGCAGCAGATGTTAAGTGTATTCTGTAATGATGACCCTGGCCCATTCTTTCTTGGAAGACCTCTCCCCCAAAGGGGTTAAGTCATGCTAACCAGGAGAGGATACAGTCAGTCAGCTCTTTCTGTGTCTCAGAGGAGATTTCCCTGCCGCAGAGATATCTGGCTTGGTAGACATTATTGGACAGTATAGTGTTTGAGGTTACTCATACAGCAAACAAAAAGAGATTAATGGGGAGAGTAGAAAATATGGAGTGATTTTTGTTTGCGTAGGTATTCAGCAATCACTTATTTCTTTAGTGAAACTCGGAAATCTGGCATTTTGATGTCCATTGTTTCCACCACAGATTTGTCTGATCTCCTGAAATGCTTCAGTCAAGACGCGTCACAACTGTTTCCACACATTCTCAACCATTGATTGACATTTTTAGATGCATTTTGAATCTGTTCATGTCTCAGATTTTGCATTTCTTGTTCTCATTTTACTGCATTTGGTCAAATCCTCTTGACCCCTGAACATAAGGTTGTGTCTTCTTAATGATAATTCCGTTTCATTTTAATACAGCAAAAATAGAATATAATAGAAAACCTTTATTGTCATTATACACAAATATACAATGACATTTTTGAGTGCAATCAATTATCTGAGGCAGGACTTGATCTCCTGTTGCTTTGTGTTGTTGGAAGGTAGGGTCTACTAGTGTGTGTATGTGTGTGTGTGTTTGTCTGCTTTAGCCAGCTACTGTAGGTTTACAATCAAACAGAGGTGCTGTTTATATGTCAACAATTTAAACTGGTTTGTATTAGATTCCATTCAGAATCTGTGTCCCTCTGTTAGGACTACATAATCACTAAGTCCACCCATGATTGCACGTTGGTGTTACAAACAATATTTGAGTACAGACAACGACTGCCAAGCCCCATGGAAGTGAGTAGGAATTGAAGCACATCTTTGTGGTGGCCAAACGGTGGTACTACAACATCTGTATCATTGGGCCCAGAAAGACCTTTTCCCATTGACTTACATTAGGATAGAGACCTCTGTAAATCAGCGGATACATTTTTCTTCAGATTAATCAACTACCCAGTACAAATACTTGAATACCACTGATTGAAATCATTAGGTCCTTAAGGTTGTAAAATGTGTTAAAAGCAGAATCCAGAGTTGGAGGCGGGGTTAAAGGACAACCCAAGTTCTATGGACCAAATGAATGCGGAAGATCCCTGAAAGACCTAGGGTATTTGGTACTCTAGAGTCAGGCCATTTGCTCTTTTTACTCCACTGAGCTACTTTTATGGGATGAACGGGGCCCCGCCTCCATAAACTGTATTTAGTTGTCTTTACATCCACACTGGCTGCGAAGAGTACAAGTGAAGAAGCATAAACACAAACACTAGATTAGAAGAAGAACAGAAAAGGCAATTCTGGCTCAAAATATATCCCTATTTTTGTTGTCTCTAAAGCGCAGTACAGTATCTGAGCTATTTAAGGTGTTTTGGCAAGATGGACCCAAAGTATAAATATATATAGCAGCCAGGGAAGTGGTATGTTAAATTGTGTGAATTTCTCAGTGCAGGTTGAGCAAATACGAAATTGCTTATCCCCTTAATCTGTGTGTAACATAGGTGCACCTTTGTTTGCTGTTCTCCTGTCCCTTTGTCTTAAAGGAATTGAACCAGCAAGGCCTGTATACCTCTGACCAGGATGTGGAAATTCTACACTAAGTAGCCCATGGAACATTCTGTTAAATGTGTTTACCATTTATTTATGTGGATTTGAAATGTCAACAAATTGAACAGGGTAGAAGTTGTATTCTTGCGTACAGGAGAATGTATCTCTGTAGTCATGCATTTGGGGGGATAGTACGCTTATTATTT